AAAGAAGGATGCTGAATAGTGGTTGGTGTCCATATCGGGTACGAGAGTGTGGCTCACGGATGACGATGACGGATTTGGTTCATGTCGCGAATATGCAGAGACCAGACACCCTTAACCATTGGCTTTGCACATCTGAGGCCTGTCGCTTTACGTGCATGGACAATGCTGATTACCAGACTCAACATGCAGCAGGCTGCACTGGATGCTCCTTTGTGGCTGCAAACGTCGAGAAGATGAGTGTGATTTTGGAAACAGATTCTTACCCAGTCATTGATATGTATGGGCCCATCACGTCCGAGGGCGCTATGTGCTTGAGTCCTGTTGACAGGCCAGGTGCAGCAACTGCTCGGATACCATATGTTGCCATCTCGCACGTTTGGTCGGACGGACTAGGCAACCCTCGCGAAAATTCGATACCGTCTTGTCAGCTCAGCAAGTTGGGTGAGCTAGTAAGAAATGTACCTCATACACCTCACCTGGGTCCATACTCGTCCTTCTGGCTGGATACGATCTGTTGTCCAGTTCAAGATGGTTCGAATATACAGCAGATGGCCATCGCTAAGATGAAGACTACATATGAGAGAGCGTCAGCCGTCTTAGTGTTAGATTCGTCGTTGTTGATACGCACGACGGACACTCTTAGCGACGCTGAGATTTTGTCTCGGATCTTGTGTAGCAGATGGACTAGTCGCTTGTGGACGTTCCAAGAAGGCGCCCTTGCCCAGAGGTTGTTCATCCAATTTGCGAATGGCCCATACGACCTGCACCTGGGGCTTGACAAATTGATGACGAGCGTAATTCCAAGCATACGACTGGTAGCGCAGCGATCCATTCTCAATCAGTTTGAACCTCTGCTTTATCGAGCACCACCCCCAGACCAAGTGCGACAGTTATCGACTTTAGCAAATAGCGTATGCTACCGAGACACAAGTATCCTCTCGGATGAACCATTGTGCTTAGCTAATTTACTACGCCTCGAAACTCACAGGTTAAGTCAAATTTCAGCATCCGATCCGCAAGCTAGGATGATAGCTTTCTGGAGACTGCTCTCAAATGTACCTTTGGATTTCGCTTTCGATGGCCACCCGAAGTTATCTCAGCCAGGCTTTCAATGGGCTCCGAAATCTTTACTGCAGTGGCGGTATCCGCTTATGAAAAGCGTGAGCCCTGCTCTTCATCCTCGGAGCGCAGAAATAACAAGCATGGGTTTGTTGTTCAAGGCACCAGGTATTGTCGTGGACCCGAATCGCAAGAACGAAATACCCGCAGATTTCTACCTCCGAACCGCTAAAAACAGATGGATCTTTGTGCAAGCCCCGGATGAGCTCCCGAACCACGACAGTAGTTCAGGACCGCTGCTGCTGATATGCTTGAACGAACTTCAGGAGGGCGTCATAGATTCAACTCCCGCAGTGCTGGTCGAACTGCTCAATCGTGGCATAGTTGGCAATCATATCGTGCGCCTTATCATGCCGGTAATGACACGCATTATGTGGGCGGAACATGTTGATGTCTTCGTAAACGGAGCAACCGATATATCTGTTGTAAGTGACGAGGCGGAAGAGCTGGGTTGGACGTGGTGGTGCTTACAGTGATGACAACCTTATCTTCTTTTTCATATGATATTTATTCAGGGTGCTGTGTAATATGTTGATGGGGAAGAATGTGGTGTCGTAGTTAGCTGGACAAAGACGCGATGGACAGGTACAAGGAAGAAGCACAGGCCGCCTAGACCGTGGACATCCCTGTCATGACGGCGCAGCTGTCAGTCGAGGTCCGCCATCGTCACCAACCCTCAACCTGGAGTTTGTTGCTACTACAGTCGTCTTGGGGGCCAATTTCTAACAGTCGCCATGCCGATTGACCGCCGTACCAGATGAGCTGCCTACGAACCCGCAGCCCGCGCCGCCCAGCCTCCCTACCATGTCCGCGTCGAACATCCGGGTATTCGTACAATGGAAGGACTCTACCGTGTTCGCCGGCGAAGACATAGAATGCACCATTACCTTCAAGAATGTCGCCCCGCCTGAGGGACGCGACCGCTCCCCGGTCCGCAGGCAGAACGGCTTTGTGACGGGCGGGGAGAGACAGCGCAAACTACCGCCCGTCCACTCGTCGACGCGCCCCTCGGTATCCCGCAATTCGTCCTTTGCCTCGCAGCTGCCGCCGTCACAGCTTCGCGGACATCGCCCTGCCTTATCGCTACATACGCCATCGACAGCTGGAGACCGCCGATCGTCTGTTGCGCCGAGCATCATCCATGCCAACAACACGGGAACACACAAACATGGGAGATCCGTGTCGATTGTGTCTTTAGGGGCAGATGCGGGAACTGAAGCCAGCCACGAGAGGGGCATACCCATTAGACGCCCGGCAAGGGGGCACGGAAGATCAGCCAGTCTGCAGGTCGTGCCCGGCAGGCCAAACTCATATCCAAGTACGGACAACAGATACAATATACGTCATTGGCTGACATGATAGCAGTTGCTTCACCAGGTCATAGATCAGCGACTCATCCATCTCCACTGTCTGGCGAAGCTTCCTCTCCGCTAGCCCGCGACACCAACGACTTTGCCTTTCCCGCGCGTCAGAACAGGCGGCGGCCTGGTGTCACGACCACCCCGAGTACCCCAGCTCTTCCGACTACAGGGCGAAAACCGTCCAATTCCTTCTCCCAGAACTTCAAGTTCCCCGCCGCACCTCCACCCGACGATGCCACCCATCCGCAGCCTAGTAGCAGTCCTACAAAGCAACCCATACACGTCCGGCGCAACTCCCCACAACCGCCACATGACTACCTACGGTCATCTGGAAGCCACAATCTCGAGGTGCTTTCACCTGTTGCAAGGATAATATCTGGGTCGAGCATGAATGACACCCCGCGTAGTAGTGGAGAGTTCTACTCGATGAGCAACAATTCCAACGAGACATTGGCTTCGGAATATGCGGCTCATCCCTCAGCGCGTCTACTACAGCGGCCGATGCATCATCGACGACCTTCGCATTTGGCACCACCCAATAGACAGGCTCTGCCGGAGTCGATAATGATGGGCTATGCGCAGATAATGGGTTCCTTCACGCTGGACGGATCCCTGATCAACCAGGCACCATTCGAGGAGGTAAAGAGGAAGGGAGTAGTAGGCGGCCAGGGCGGAGGTGGTGTCGTAGGAGTAGAGAAGACAAAGCGCGAAAGTGGGCTCTTCGGTGCGCTAGGTTGGGGTAACATAGGAGAGTCGCTGGGTGGACTACTGGGCGCTTCCGAGCCCTCCAGTATCCGAGAGATGCGAGGGGTTGCCAGCTCCAAGACTGTCCCGCTCATCACTACTCCCCAGTCCATTCTGTTCGTCGATTTACGGCTTGCGCCTGGCGAAAGCCGCAGCTACACGTACAGCTTTACAATACCCCGAGGTCTGCCACCTTCGCATAAGGGGCGGTCGATGAAGGTAGCATACAATCTCATCATTGGCACACAACGCGCGGGATCGACCAAAGAACAACAAGTGAAGCATGTGGACGTTCCGTTTCGGGTGTTTGGCAGTGTGAACAGTATGTCAAGTCTGAGGATACAGGTGTCGATATGCTAATCCCTTACAGGCCGTGGCGAGATTCTCGGACATGATCTCATGTCTCCGTACATCATATTGCGCGATCAAGCTCGAACAGCCAGCATAGACCCTTCTTCAAGCGCGAAACTTTCCCCAACAAAGAAGGGCGTTTCTTCGGGCAAGTCGGAAGAGAACACTTTCAGCGACTTCCTAGAGTATGTCGACAATCTTCTCGATCGACCTAGGCACAATTCTAGCATGGGCTTGCTTTCACCTACGGGCACCATGCCCGGGCGCTCAACGATTGCCGAGGGGCCTCAGACCATGAAGGAGGCTATCGATACAGCCATCTTGCGCAGCAACTTGACAGGCGCTGCCAACCAGAGCGCCAATCGCTTCGAGATTGCTCGCAGCGGCCGCCGTGTCGCGGTCATCATGTTGGCGCGGCCCTCTTACAGGTTAGGCGAAACAATGTCTGCCGTAATCGACTTCACAGATTCACGCATTCCCTGTTACTCAATACATATCTCTCTGGAGACTTCAGAGAAAGTCGATCCGGCGATAGCGCTTCGCTCTAATGCGTCGATATACCGCGTCACAAAGAAAGTGCACGCATCATTTTCAGAAAATGCTCTGTTTGCGCAAAAGCTCGCCTTCTCGCCGACGATACCCCCCAATGCGACACCGGAGTTTATCACCAGCGGCGTCAGTCTGGAGTGGAAACTCAGAATCGAGTTCATCACCCCTCGACTAACGCACGAGGACGGAGAGGAGACTTCGTGGGACGACCTCTTGGAAGAAATATCTAGTGACGACCGAGGTGTCATATTAGCAGCGGCGCAACGATTGCCTGCTGAGAGCTTTGAAGTGCAGGTACCAATACGGGTATACGGGGCTGTGAGCGGGGCGCCCGAAGCACCTGATGAACAGGGTCTTCCTGTATGAACTTGGCCATACAAAGGGCAGCCATTACCACCAGCTCCACGCTGAACCACAACGCAACAACTGGGCAGAGCACTGGTCCTCCGCATCTCGCTACCCTGCTTTCCATCAGCCGCTTACCCTTATGGGCCATTATAACCTTTTGTACATGACTAGGGGTATATCGCATACGTATTGGATATTGGGAAGGAAAAAGGAAGCGTGTTGGAAAGCACTTGCAGTATACCAGCTCGTCACTTGAGCAAGTCAGGGTTGTAGGACACAGGGCCCGTGTTCGACAGTAATTTCATCTATCCATATCCGTTCACGTCCCTTTGTCGTGCTTTTCGATTTAGGCGACACCCCATAGGCAGGACCAAAGACCCTCGCCCACAGCACAATTACCAGTACAATGTTTGTCACACGGAAAAAATCGCTTCTGCTTCCCCTTCCAACACTAAATAATTAAGCTGACCTCGCCTTTCTTTACTTGTCACAAACTTCGAATCAACACAAATACTTACCTTACTTAAAATGGCTTCCCTCTACGATATGTTCGACTGGAGGACGGCTTCAACTCAAGAACTCGAAAACCAGATCAAGAAACTACAACGTGATCGCGATTTGAGGAAACTGCAAAACACAATAAGAGATAGCATAAGAGACAGCATACGCGACAGCATCAGAGCGGAGACTCTCAAAGAGGGCATCAGTCTCAAGATCGAGAACGAAGACGGCCTAGTGTACATTTCCCTCCCTTTCTCACTTATCTAATGAGAGCATGACTAACCCACGTTCCCTCATCTAGTTATTTCCGCCCACGCGGCCTTATAATGGGTAATTCACCACTAAACGTCGAGCTGAAGAACAAAGGATACAATGGCAAGATCTACGTTGAACCCGGCGCCTCAGGCTGGTTCACAGGTGGATGGGCTGAAGTACTCATCGTAGCGGGAACGGTATATCTATACCGCAACGAACTCCGCATTATCGGTCGAGGTGTGCTAGCTGGAGCGAATCTAGCTATTGAGCGATGGGAACAACGTCAGCGACAAAATGCCAGTGATGTGAAAGGGAAAGAAGTAGAAGAGGAGAAAGAGCAAGGAAAGGAGGAGCAGAAGATGCCTGTCACACCGACTGAAGAGAAAGGCATCAACCAAAATGCCTCCACATACCCTCCTCACCCACCACCCACACAGCCACCCCAAGCCGTGTACGTATTTTCATGTGTGCGGTGTTCTAACCCAGAATCACCTCCACACAGCCCGTACGACAGCAGTGGATTCGATGCAGACGTGGACACGCCAACCTCACCCTAGAGCCTACGTTGACGCCAGGTCACCTGCTTTGCAGGTTTTTGATTTGATGTAGTCTGCAGACCTGATCAATCTTTTTGCTTGTATGAGGTGGGAATCAGTGGTCTGTAGTGGAACGCGCGTAAATGGTCATTGGCCATCATAGACGACGTCACCGACATATGGGGGAAGCAAGAAGGGATACATATCACACAGCCTAACTCACTGCAGAAGCCATGAGATCACAACTCAGCTCATAACCATATCATTGAAGTCATCATGTCTCGAAAAGTGTATGTAGATGTAATCGCAGTCCATCGCCAAGAAAGCCTTCTTCACAATCGAATCGAATCAGGCAGAAAGTGTGTCCACGAAGCCGATCATACTCGCCCGGGACCTTTATGCTGGTCGCTCACAATCCATCAATCATGCTCCTGTGTTTCGTCCGTGTCGCTTACAATCCACCGGGTCCGGCAGCCGAGTGTGCGCTGGCTCCGGCGCCAGGGCCCAGGGAGGCATGTGTCGCTTCGCGGTGGGCTGCGTCGCGTGCCTCGCGCTCCTTGGTCTCGGCGGCGATTTGGTCTTCGGTCTTCTTGTTGCCTCGGGCGATGAGCTTCTCGAGGAGCCCGCCCTTCTTGGGCGTGTCGTGCTTGTCTGAGTCTTCGAATTCTTTTAGGTAGGCGACGCGCTCTGAGGGGGGCATCGAGGCGAGTTCAGAGTCGATTGAGTCGCGGTTCTCTGGTGGAGTGGGTTAGTTGCGGGTCTGGGTAAGGCTGAGGTTGAGAAGTCGGGAAGGCGCGATGTTGGATTCGTGAATCGCGAGGGATAGGTGTAGATTAGATCATCGAAAACTCGAAGCTTGACTTACCCTCGATAGTGCCGACATTACCAGCGCGGACATCGTCCTCAGCCGTCTTGTTCTTGCTGCTGCCAAGGTGGAGCTTCTCCTTGATCTTGTCCATTTTCAATTGACTGTTTTAGGTTGTGGTTTGGGGTATCGGGGTACGTGTGTACTGTTGACGTGGATGAATGGCAGAGGCAGGAGTTAGGTGTTTGGTGTGTTGTCTAGGTCGGAGGAGGCGCGCGGGGATGAGGGGTGATGGTAGCTTCAGCCATGCGTGTCACCTACGTCATAGCTTCAACATAGTCCAGCTGCCAGCTGCCCTGTTGGAGGTGGATCTAGTCAAGCGCGATCCATGCACTTCATTTCCAGGTCATGCAGCGAACGCCTTGTAGTGGCTTGGGATTTGGTGGTTCTTCTCCTTATGCTTGGGCTGCATCTGCCTACGTGGTGTCTGACATCAGCCTCACGAGCGGAGCGCGTTGCGGGCACCCTGGGAAGCTGCAGGTGGTAATTATGGCTAGCATTGTTGTCCCTGCGTCTCGTATTCGACTTTCGATAATTAGCTCTTAGAATGGCCAGGAGCCATCTACAAGATCATGATTGCGATGCTCCAGCGGTAGACTTCCACAGAAGTCCTTGCATGAAAAACGAAGCATGTACGCGGCTGGGACCACATACATCAAATTCATCATGGTTGACGTCTCCACTTCCCGGATGGAGCTCGTCAGTAGCCCACAGTTCCAACTTCGTGTTGCTACCCTTGTCATGACAATGCATGTCCTTCAGCCCTACGAGCCGATCACCCGGTAACTCTTGGCAGGTGAATTCGGTCTGCAGACACCAGCATCATTCTGCTTGTGCACTCTCAGAACCCTTAGGAGCTTCGCCGGTTGTCAAACGGCAACGGCATCGTTTGGTGAAGACATTCGGATATCGTGGTTGGCCCATGCAACGTTAACGGTCGCTGAACCGTATGCCTTTGAGAATGATTACTATTATATGCGGTTTCGTGTGCTCATATCCAAAATCCCGCCCATTCCCAATCCATGAGTGGTATCTCTAGATGTACGCCAAATCCAAACGCCTTAGTATGACCGCCGCCCAGTATCCAGTGCTGCCCATTAATATTTGTGCTGTGGAAACTGAGGTGTCATTGGTGATACGCCAGAGCGTACTCCAAGCTCGCCTGTCGCGTATCCGTCGTCGCTAGCTATGCCGCTCACACTGCGCCCTGTGCTACTCTCGGCATCCGCTTCGCGTGGGCCAGGGTATTGCGGCAGCTGTACTTCTCGCCATCTAGGTGTGACTGGCATCATTGACTCGCCGTGCAGCTCTTGTGGCTCATCTGCCATGCTGATAACTGTCTTCTGATCCTGCGGATACGCATGACCGACGAATTGCTCGTTGACAGGAGAGGCAAGCTCAGTCAACGGTGTCCCGTGGAGTTCCTGAGGGCCCACAGCTTTGTGCGGCTGGCTGCCAGCGAGAATGTCGGTGCCTGAACCAACCTCCGATATGTGCTTGCTTGCGAGTTCGTATCGTTGCTCTTTTTGCTGCTTGCCGCGACGCTTCCGGAAGAAAAATATACCAAGTGCGACCAGGGCGAGAGCGGCGATTGCTCCCATTACTATGCCGACAATGGCACCTACGCCGAGACCTGAGGATGAAGACGAAGCTGGCGTGGCAGTAGCATCACTCGGAGATTTGATGGTCATGACGTCTGATGCGGGCAGAGGATCAGGAAAGACTGCCTGCGCAACAGTAAAGTTCGCGCGCTCATAGTCTACTATGAGATAGGCCTCTTGCAATAGCGTCCTGCCCAGTGCATATTGTGTATCGTTCGCGGCGCGGCGGATCGGGAAGTAGTTCGTTGCGTTTGTGTAATACGGGTACGAGGCTTGGAGGTCGAATGCCGCATACGGCAGCTCTATATTGGTGTAGTTTGTAGTCGTGTCTTCGAGGGAGTCGACGAGCTTGAACGTGAGGGTCGGGTTCTTGGATAAGAGTTCTTCGTGGATCGTGTCGTTGACAAGGTACAAATCTGTTTGAGGATCATAAGTCAGGCCAAACGCTGTCTCGAACTCAGCACACACGTCTGCGGGTAGCCACAGATGCGGGACAGTAGAATCAATGACAGAGAAGTGAGCTCCAGATGTCAGGGAGTAGGTGCCCTGCAGCGTGTTTGTAGCCATGATCGAGTCCACCCCAACAGTTAGGAGCCGGGAGGGGTCTTGTGAGAAGGTGAACGAGAAATCGTTCGCGCCAGTCTCGAACCGCGTCGCATCGTAGCCGCCCAGTATCAGACTACCGAATACAGATTTCAACCTGTACTTCGCGCCTGCCGTATACGCATATGCAAAACTGGGGATCTTCTTGCTTTCACGCAGCAGGTAGAGGAACGAGTCGACCGGCTGGCTTCCACTGTTGAAGCTGGACTTTGCCTGACCCAGGCCCAGAACTCCTAGATAATAATCCGGGTCGGCAACGGCAGCAACGACCTGGCGCGTCAACGAAACAGAAGAGCTACTGTCCGCAGCTGCTCCTAGAGTGACGGTATCCAGGCCAAACAATCCTCTCCCTGTGTAGTTGAGCGCATCCTCCAAATCAACGTCGTATTGCCCGATCGCCGACCATGTTGTCGACGCGTCGACCTGGAAGCCGGTGCTTTGCGTGCTCTGGAAGACCTCTATTCCTCGTAGTTGTGGGCAATCTGTAGGGTCGACTCCCTCCAAACAACCTTCCGGCGCAATGACGTATGTGACACCTCCCTTTGTGCTGGGCAGTACACGAAAGTCTTGTCCTGGCGTTCCAACGCTTATCTTGAAGGTGCTCCAACTCCCATCGGCACCGTCGAACTTATTCGAAGGTGGCACAACATACGGCTCCGGGGCCTCGGTAGCGCGCGGTGTGAGGCGCATGGTGTAGCGAGCGAATGGTAGTGAGGGTAGTGAGACGTCCCTACATGGACCTGGCAGCGATCGGTCGACGACTTAGAGGGTGCGAAGCGTGCAACACATAGCGGAGTTGTCTTTCGGAAGACTTGGTATGCCGGCTTGAGTCAGCTCAGCTACCGGGAATGCGGTTCCAGGGCCATCGGAAGCTTTCAAGGCCAGAGCGGTTCATGGGCGTTTTGCTCCAAGAACCCACTCCAACAACTGCGGGCGCCGCGTGACGATCGCCCACCCTAATTATTAGATTGGCATGGCAGTGCAGCCTGATTCGGTGACAGTAGCAGGGAAGTCCGGCTAGCCTCCAAGGTCAATCGAGCTGGATACGAGGGTATCATGGGAGAGGCGTATCCGTTGGCATGCTAAGGGGTAGCGCGACGTTAGTCATCATCCTGCCCAATGACGGAGTCCTGGAACGACTTCCCGCTGATCCTCTCAGCCTCCTTTCGACACCATCTCGGCCCAAGCGGCCACGACTTGAGCGCCTTCGTCATGCGGTTCCAAGTTCCCTTTGAATGGCGCTCGACACATGCATGCCAAAAGTCAACGGCGACCTCTCAGCTGTGGTCGCATGTATCATCGGCTAAGGCAAGTTGACATGTCACGGATCTCGCACTATCTCGCCTGACATGGTCGTGTTGTCCTTGCCGAGAACCTGAGACGTAGCCCAGCAATCTCTTCACTTGGCCCTAAAAGGCAAACCCAGTAGTTCGTCGCTCCGACCTCCAGGAGATCGGTTCAAGGCTGGATCGTTCTTGCGGGGCAGATCTCCTAGGTGATATAGGGTATGCCGATTGACACCAGGAAATCGAGACAAGCGTTGCATATGGCGCTACTGATAGCTAAGTTGTAGACTGCCACGGTTGCTGTTGAAGACAATTGATTGCAAGTCATGTCAGCATTAAGCTTGGTTCTAGGCGGACCTACGAGAGCATGCAAATCCAACTGATCAGCACGGCAGACGAGGGTCCACCGTCCAACGATGCCCTGGCGGTCATACGCGTCAACGGTATGTGCCTCGTGTTTCCACTAAGCATGGCTATCGCTAGGGCCGTGCATGGATCGCAACCTGATCATGCGTCCGAATAGCCTTCATCGAATGGTTCGAATTCGCACTGTTTAGGGCAGAAACTGGCTGTTTTCGCTTTTGCGGTACTCTCTTACGTCCCAAACGTCTTGCTTGACCTTCACACTATCACTCGCTTGGTGTAGAAGGCTCATAACAAGATGCG